CCCCCAGGACGCCATGTCGTTAAACCCGTGTAGCGCAGCACCGAGCATCCCCAATGGTTTCCTTCATGCTTACCTCGACTCCGAAGAGGGGGAAGAGAGGGAAGAGGACGAAAACGTTCTTGTGCAGCAGCTGCTGCTCCCTGAATGTCATACGGACGCCCAGCGGCGTGGAGGCTCCGGACCAGGGCAAAAGAGCAAGCAAAGAGAGATACTTTCAAAACCGTTATGAGCGTTTTCTACAGCAGTGTTTCTCTCCGAATCCTGTACACGATGATCATGACTTTTGGATTCGCAACCGTACGAGCAGGTCTATGATCTTTCGCGTTCTGAATGGGGGTGCTTGAAGCAGATTCTGCTTATTTCGAGCAGCGATCAAACGCTGCAAAGCAAATGGAGTTCCACCCGATTATGAAGGTGGCATTGGCCTCGCGAGTGCTTGCTCACGCTATGTCTGTCGATTCTCTCGACGACAACCTCGAAATGTCCAAGACTGTTATCTACAATGTTACACATTTTGTGTATGCCGTGGACAAACGATTTGGTACTGAGTATCTACGCTCAACTACTGAAGCTGATTTGAAGCGACTTCTCAAGGTGAATGCTCAGCGTGGGTTTGTCAAGATGCGGTGCAGCATTGACAACATGCACTGGGATGGGCAATTCAAGGGGGATGAAAAGAAGCCTAATGTCGTTCTTGAGACATGCGCGGACAAAGAACTATGGATTTGGTATGCGAGTTTTGGCTGGCTTGGGGCTCTGAACGTCATTAATATTCTTGATAGGTCTCCAATATTTGATGAGCTCATGAACGGAAGCGCGCCTCAAGCCCATTTTGAAGTTAATGAGCATTCCTAATCCATGGCCTATTGTCAGGCAGACGGTATATATCCGGACCGGGCTGCCTTCGTAAAGACAATACCAGAACCTCGTGGAAACAAGCAGAAATTCTTTGCCAAAGCACAGGAGGTTATTCGAAAAGATGTTGAGCGTGCCTTTGGTGTTCTACAAGCACGATGAAAAATTCTAGCGCTTTCTTGTAAGATGGATAAATGATTGGACATGGCAAAAGTGATGCGTGCCTGTATCATTTTGCACAAAATGATTTGCGAAGAGAAATGTTACGTTCATATCGATGAGCGCGCCTATGTGTTTGACGCTGAAGAGGAACACCCTCCTTATGTACTTCGCGTGTCACGCCCATTTGGTTGTCGTCCTAGGTCAGTTGGTGAGACCACTACACGTATTAATGCAATTGAGAATGCTTCGTGCCTTGCTCAACTACAAGCCGACTTAATTGAGCATGTGTGGGCGTGCTATGGAGAATTCGAGTGATGCTTGACTCAGGAACTTCCAAGAACAGTCCTGATTGTTGTAAACATTGCATCATTCAATTTCCTTGTATACAAAAAATACAGTCACTTGAGGCAACACACTTGTCGAAACCTCCATTGAAGCAGATGGAGCCTGGGTTACTTGAGCTACTGGTGGAAAGCTTGGTGTTGTGAATGAAGATGGAGGGGAAAGCGATGGTGACATATTCGTGAACTCTGGGAGTCTTGAAGCATCGGCGGTAGAAGGTAGCAGGCTGTCACGCATGGAGGGGTTTGAACTCGATAGTGTTGATGACTCACTTCCAGGTTCTTGACTGTCGTGTGATGGGATCCAGTGCTGTCCGGTGATGAGGGCGGCAGGCTAGCCACATCATCATGGTTGTAAACATCATCCTCATTTTTGGATGCTGGTACCTCTTGAGTGTTCTGTGTATCATCATCGTGTGGCATGCTTGACGACGGTGTTTTGCTTATAGCTTCCAGGCGGCCCAACAAGTTAGCACGGCGATTTTTAAGGTATTCAGCGTGCTCGCGATTCGCTGGCACAACACTAAATAATTCGCTCGCATACTATGTAGAACTTGCTCTTGTTGGAGACGCTGTTGAGCTTGGTTCCGCTGAAGTTGATCCTTCATAACCTTAACTTTCAGGGTCATCGACATAGCAAGTGCTTCCTGCGCCTACACCGTTCTAAGTGGTAGCAGCTTCTCCGCTTAAACTTTGGCACGTTTGATGCTTTAACGCCACGGTTGGGCGCTCCATAGACGTGTTACCACCTACAACTTGACTCGGCGATGATAATTCGCCGTTGTTTTCTTCCCTGTCCCCTCCGATGAACTTCGATTTCTTGAGACAGAAGACTGGCTACGCATCGGCGACCTATCAAGTCAATTCTCAGACTTGGGACATTTGAATAGCACGTCGTAGCACTCGACGTAGGTGAAGGGCTGGTTGTGGCGCTCCTTGTACAGTGCTAATGCCTGCTTCATCATGTCGCGCTCCGTCGATACTGACTGCCTTAAAGACTCCATATACTTTGAACATCTGACATACTTGCCAATTACCTTTTGTATCTGTCCAAAGCGCGCCTGAATGCTTGACCACGTCTGACGAACAACCTTTGCTGACGCCAACGCCGCTTCAACAGGCTCCAGGATCTTCATAGTATCCTTCACACGTCTTCAGAAGTCTTTAGCAGTCTGGTTAATTCCAACCGATGCGTCGGAGGACACGTAGATCCATGATCGAGCAAGCTCCAGGTTTTCAATAAGAGCATAGTTGCATCCGCGCACGGGCATCTCGGCGAGCTTCTTTCAATTCTGACAGGAGAGCCGAAGGGTCGCAGAGGGAGGGAGCTTTTGTCCGCGATCACCCGTGAGTTAATATTGTCGTGGGATGACCGGACGATAGTCGCGGAGGATGTATGATATGACTTTTGTTGAACTGGCGCGGGTTACACAAAATCATCTCGTGGTCATATTTTGCTTTTTGTAGAGGTTTTGTCGGGGCCATTGGAAATGCTCTGGGGTGGGGAAATGTGAGCGCGTAAGGGCCATCAATACCTCAGTGCTTCGTGCTTAAACTTGAACAGGTGCGGGGTCACCAGGACCTCCGTGCTGTGGTGTGAGCTCATTGAGCGCCGGGGTTCACCATGTCCACGCGCCTTGGCAGTTGTCTTGACCACTCGAGATGTATCAGGTCCTCGGTGCCTTGGCGATGATGTCGTAAACGCGAAGCGTCCGCCAGGTCCGTCGCGTCTTGGTGTTGTCGATCTTGATGGTACACGAGGTCACCAGGTCGGCTTGAAAAGAACTTCACTAGCCAAACCCCAGAGTCTGGCGGATCAGGTAAATTTAAATGCAACGTCATACATAAACAAGGAACATTAGTGAAGGCAGATCTGGCCAATATATTATTCAGATCTTACACTACGACACTAGTCCCCACTGCTTATACCTTGATCGAACTTGATGAGGTTAAAGTTTCCTCCTTTCCCTGAAGAACGATGAAGACTTGTGCGCTTCTAAGCAAAACGACTCTAATTGATGATTACCATGTGTCTACTTACTTTTCATCCCAGCCTGCATCTTACGCATATCTATGTTCATCCATGTGTCGACTCTCCCAATCCCGCCGATCAACCGATCGACCAATCGCCGATCTAGATCAGGTTCCCTTGGCCATCCATACCATAAAATTGCCGACACCTGGCCGACTGTGCCGACAAGACATGATTGGTCGAAAATGTAAGAAAACTGATTGATTCAAGTGAATAGATTGACACGGAAGGTGTAGGAAACTTGCGCAGTGCAACACTGGTTGTACGCCAAGCGAAGTTCGCTGCGAACAAAGTAAATAAAATAATATATGCAGCATATCATAAAAAATGTTGTGCAAAGGCTGCACCTCACAGCCTACTCCATGTAGCGTTGTGTAATA